GATCTAGCAATCTCTATTACAATTAAAAATGCAATTAAAAAATGCAATTTAAAATTTAAAATACCATTGGTAGAGCAATTGTAGGTTGGGGTTCTATCTCGCAGAATTAAAAAAGCAAGTACATAAAAGCATATAGGAAAGATACTGAAGGCTTTATGTATTTATAATGGCAAAAACTTAGAAGAAAAGTTAATGCTCATCAACAGGGAAATGACTACAATTATTAGAACATTTCCTTAACATGTGAAATACAGTAATTCAACCAAAAAAAAAAATGAATTAGAGTTGTATCTGTTGGCTTAGAGAGATTTCCGCAGGATTTAAACTGATAATTAAAATGCAGAGAATTACATATTATATCCCACTTTCGAATGTTGTCAACGACAACTCTCCATTAAATTACAAATAGTTGTATGAGTATGGAGAAACACACGTAATAATACACATATGGTAAAATGGGTTATTTGGGGTAGAGTAGGGATTCAAGAGGTAGGGAATTGCAGTGGGAGAGGAGAAGGAAGCAGAAGTGAAAAGATAAAAAATCTAAAATTATTTGATATGCTATATTTCATGCTTAAAACTTTGTGTAGATATAGTATGCATGAAAAAATTAGAAAAATGAAGATTGACTTAGAGCTATAGCTGCAGACTTTAGAGATCTCTATAATAGATTGTCAAATGAAAAAGCAATTTTTAAAATACTATGTAATTTATGAGTTCTTTTCATTAAAAATTAAAAAAAATTTATATATGTACTTATATATTGTATGTACTTATATGATTTTGGAAAAGATGTGGAAAATAACACCAAACTCTTAACTTTGGTAATTTCAGGGAGTGAGAGTGGCAAAAAAAATGGAAATTGGCCTCTTCCTTGTGTATTTCTGTATTTTTCACATGCTATAACAAGCATGGTTGCTTTATAATTTGAAAAGTAAAACGAAGAACTTATTTAAAGAAAAAAATACAACATGACATATAGAACTCTGTTTTCTCACCTTAATAAAGAACATGATTAAATATTTCATGATTGAGAATTTTGCCATGTTCAGTGGTCATCACTATATTTAGGGAAAAGTAAAAGAAAAAAAAAACGATTGGAGGTGAGGGAGAAAAAAAAATCTGCTAGTGCGTATAGAAACAACCTTAGATTCACATACACAGTTTGTAAATTTCCCACGTCATCACACTAAAATGAGAGGACATTCTAGCCTTGTTTTAAAATGACACTATCAAATTTCCCTTCTTTAGAACTTTCCATTTTCTGGAAAGACTCTGATAATCATTTTAGTTTGACTTCGTCAAGACTAGCATGTGTGAGTTTGGGATTTTTGGAAGGTCCACCCCAACGAAACCATTATTTCCACTAGAGATCCCTAACTGTATTTATTCACTTCACATATGGTTAATGAGTATATATTATTTGTATGAGACAGTTCTATGCACTGAAGATACAGCAATAAAGAAGTCACATAATTTTGCTTCCCTTGTGGACCTTATAGGCTTGTGGGGGAGACAGGCAATAAGCAATAAACAATGTTCATTAGATAGACAGGGGCATAGATGGATAGACAGATAATAGAGACAAATGTACATGTTACAAGGAAGAATAAAGGAAGTTAGGGGATAGAAGTAGCTGGGTAATGGGGAAGTGAGTTACAAGAGGGAGGGTACACACTGAAAACTTGTCTGGAAAGGTAAAATTTAAACTGCGAATGAATAATCTGAAGAGTCAACGATGTGAAATTCTAAGAGAATAATGGTCTAAGCAAAGGGTATATGTATGAAAGTTTGATAATGTAATATTATCTCAGTATGGTTACGTATAAAACAAATTGCAGTGTGATGATAATGTGGTACACAAGGGTGAAGTGGTGGTACACATGAGGGCAGACGAGTTGTCAGTAGCCAGATCATTAAAGGCTTTATAAACCACAGTAGAAAAAGGTCTATGCTAAATGTGATGTTACTACACTAGAAGGTTTTGATCAATGGAGGAACATGATGGCGGCTGTGTAGAGAATGGGATGTGTGGTGGTAGCGGTGAGAGATGAAGTAGGGAGAACATTTAGGAGGCTTTTGTAGTTTTCCAAGTGAAATATAATGATTGATTGAACTTTTAGTGTGGAAGTAGTAGAAATGGAGTGAAGTTGATCAATTCGAATATTTTGGAGGTAGGCAAGGCAGGACTTACTAATAGATAGGGTAAAGAAAGAAAAGTAATCATAGATAACCCACCAGGTTGGGATTGAGCCACAGGTTCGATGTCATCACTGTTTACTAACCTAGTGAAGACTTGGGGAGAAACAAGTTTGGGTGGCGAGGTCTCAAGAGTTCTCTTTGGGGCATGTTAATTTTGAGATGCCCGGAAGACATTCAAGTAGATACCTTAATTATTCGGATATATGTATTTGAAGTTCAGTGGAGAAGATCAGTACCAGATTTAAAATGTAGTAACAAAAGCATACAAACAGTATATTAAGTCATGGGAATGGCTGGGATAACTTACAGAAAAAATATAGACAGAAAAGAGAATAAGGACTAGGACAAAGAGATACTGCAATTGGATTTGGCTGCTTGTAGGTTCTTGGTGATTTTGATGCCTTTCAGTAGAATGGCAGAGACAGAAGCTCTGTTGTATTTTCACTATTTATTATCAAGGGTTGATAAAAGAGCTTTAACATGGTATTTAGCACACCTAGAACATATATTGAAAGCCACGTTTTACAACTAAATTAATCTTTGACTTCCACTTCCAACTTATCCTCTGAATTTTAACACTAGTACATAAGAGCTGTATTTGGAAATCTTGTGTTAATAAAATAGGTTCTTTTGTTACTTGTGTTAATTAAGTAATGATTATTGAAATAGTCTCCAAAGAATATTCTTTCTGTGTAAACTCCTCCACTTGGAAGGCTCCCTGTTTAATTAATCAACCATTGTGAGGCCTGGAGGGGAGAGCAGATGCCATGTAGAAAAAGAGTCATGTAAAACTTTAAGTCTAAAACCTGACTTTTTTAATCCCGTGGGAGAAAATAATTTTAAGGGCCTTTTTTTAAAAAAAGAAGTTAAAAAGTATTTTAAGAGATTCCCTAAATTCTTACAGTGACACTGACATTTCCAGAGAAGTTTGAAAATCTGAACATAGATTTTTACTGTAAGCCATAAAGGAAGAGAGAAAATGAGTAGGTACTTGCCGGGAGGAAAAAAAAAAAGGGGGCATGATTTGAATCTTTTTGGTGTTATAGCTGATCCAGATCAGCAATGTGGAGCCCGTCGGAGGGACTATGTGTTATAATTGCCTTTGATCCTAAGTAGGTTATCAGGTGGGAAAAGGGGCCAATGCTTAAAGGGCAGGCAAAACCTTACATTCTTGTGGAGGAGACAGGCAATAAGTAATAAACAATGTTGGTTAGATAGACAGGTGGATAGGTGAATAGATCCATAGATGGATAAACAGAGAAAGATACACATGCTACAAGGGAGAATAAAACCAGTTAAGGGATAGAAGTAGCTAGGTAATGGTATTTACCTCACTCTTCATAGGGAGCTAGCTTTTAAGAGCATGTGAAGCCCATTTCCTTAATATCAAGAAGTTCTATAATGAATCAAGGATTTATACTGGGAAGGATAAAGGAGAGAGAAATCATTTAGCAAGTTCTGCAACACCACTGAGTTTATCTGAAAGAGCATGCTTTAAATCAGAAGACAATGAATTGCCACTAATTGGCAAGGGCAAGGAATGATTTTGTTTTGCTTTATATTGCTTTTTGTTTTTACTCATATTAATAGGACTTGCGGCTGGAAAGAGAGTTTAATATAGTTATAAAGATAAAAAGTTAATTATATTCACATCTAAATACTATTATTTAGATTTTCTTATACTGTCACACTCTGTTAATTTACTTTTGTGTATGTATTTTGCAATTTAGTAGGCAGCCCTTCATATGTTTCATTTAAATTGCTTTTCTTGATAATTTGAACAATTTTTATTTTCATCCTTCCTCAGACAGAGAGGTTGGTCACTATTTTCTGTATAAAAAGAAAAAAAAAGCTTTTAATAAGTAACGTTAAAATTTTCTTAAATCATAAACCAGTTTCCTCTCTCTCACACTAAATAATTCTACTTCCCTTAACTTTTCCTCATGGACACTTTTTAAAGCTTCACTTATTCAGAGACCTCATCAAGTTGTTTAAGTATTTTTTACAGTAAGATATCTCAAACTTGATAAAACTTAACAACCTAATCAGCAAGTTACAAAAATATTATATGGAAGATTATTATCAATTGAAAACTTACCTCTGTTCAATTATTTTTTTATCCACATTTGGCTTAGAATAAAACAAAACTAACTTACCAGATGTTTCTGTCTTGACTTGGAGATGGAACATTCAACATCCATCAACACGGTTACAGTTGTTTGAACTTGGAAGTTGGTGGTATAGGCTCACAAGGAAGTAATATTATTTGCTTATTCTTTTCTTCTTTCTCTTTCTCTCGTTGAGTAATGCTACATTTAATTTGTATTTGCTTGAAAGTAGAAATCTGAAAAATTATTTGACTTCCTTTCATGACTCCTGTATTTAAATCTATGGTGGAAGCTTTGGAAATTCTCAATCTATGGATTTAATATTTGCCTCTTTGGATTTTTCTGGAACTTTTTTTTGGTATCAACAGATTCATTGTATTTACCTTCTACATCCTAAATTCAACATTCTTCTTTGCATCTGTCTTTGCATCTTTCATTGAATCCTTCATATCCTCAAACTTAGCGTAAGAATTAAACAAATCCTCAATCTTCAATTTTTCTTAACATCTTTCGTATATTTTTATGAATCTTTTCTGAGTGCTTCTTTGTATTCTTTTTCTCCTTTGAAAAATGGTTCGATTAATTCTTTGGTTCCTCTTTTTCACTCATAGATTCAGCTTCACACGACTAGCATGGTTTTATCAAATATGCCTTTGAATTGTTATTTCTATTTGAATTATTATCCAAGGCCTACTTGCCCTTCTTTGCACTCTTAGCATCACTCTTCTTTGCATCCTTCTTTGCATTCTTCTTTGAATCAGCAGATTCTGTGTCAGTGTCTTTCTTAGCATCTTTCTTAGCATCTTTCTTAGCATCTTTCTTGGCATCTTTCTTGGCATCTTTCTTGGCATCTTTCTTGGCATCTTTTGGGGAAGCTTTCTTGGAATCAACCTTTGATTCACTGTCTGTCTCAGTGGGCTTCTGTTCCTCTTTCTGGTCTTTTTTACTATCTTTCTTCTTTAAATCTTTCTTTGCATCTTTCTTGTCACTGTCCTTTGATTGATCATCTTTCTCATCCGTCTTTTTTGCATCTTTTTTATCCTTTTTCCCATCCTTCTTTGCATCTCCTTTTCCAGTTTCAGGCGGTGTAGCTGAATCCTTGCCCTTCTTTGAATCTTTCTTATCTTTCTGGGAATCTTTCTTTACATCGTCTGTTTCAGGTACAGCTGGTGTAGCTGAATCTTTGCCCTTCTTTGAATCTTTCTTATCTTTTTTGGCATCTTTCTTTACATCTCCTTTTTCACTTTCGGTGTCTGTACTTGAACCCTTGCCCTTCTTTGCATCCTTTTTACCTTTTTTGGCATCTGTTTTTACGACATCTTTTTCATCTCCAGAACCTTTCTTTAACTCTTTCTTATCTTTTTTTGATTCTGCTTCTGAATCTGATTTGTCCTTTTTGTCTGCTTTCTTGTCTTCTTTACCTTTCTTACCTGTTTCTGGAGGTAACTGTTTCTCTGCATCTGCGTCTTTCGAAAACTTGTGGGTATAAGCTGGTTTGGATGGGGGCCGCCTCCTGGCAGCTAAATAAACAGAGGGTCTCTCGGAAATACTCATTAAAGAACGGTGCATCCATAATGGTCTTCTTTTACTTTCCTTTAATTTTTCTTCATCACGTTTCTGAAATATTATTTAGAATAATGATGAATAGCTTGTGTGTGATTTACACAGTCTTTATTATCACATACCAGATACATTTTAACTTCAACAATGAGAAAGTTTAGATTTTGATAAATAGTAGATTAATTGTAGATTTTATACTTCATTCTGCTTATTTCAATTAAGTTCTTATTTTGACTTATGGTCATACCTCACTCTGAGCACAATTTCAGTTGAGGGGATCTTCATAATTCCCTCAAGATTTTATATGAGAATTAGTGTAGACCTATAATGAATCATGACATATCAAAACTTCTTTTCAAAATCAGGGGATATTTTTGTTTGGTTTGTTTCTGAGATGCTATGTTCTTCAGAACTCTTGGAATATCCTGCCCACCACTCTTCACCCCTAGGCTAGCTCAAAAACTAATTGTTCTCTAATATTATACACCCCAAGATCTATCCTGAGGTACAGTGCTGTCAGTGATAGGATAATGTCTGTAGGCCTACAAGGAAGACCAGTTAATAGAACTATTATTCATATTTATGCACCAACCACAAATACCTAAGATGAGGAAAATGGAGATTTTTACCAACTTCTGCAGTCTGAAATTGATCAAATATGCAATCAAGGTGCATTAACAATTTCTGGTGATTGGGATACAAAAGCTGGAAACAAAGAAAAACGAGCAGTAGTTGGAAAATATGACCTTGGTGATAGAAATGACACCGGAGATTGCATGATAGAATTTTGCAAGACCCAGTAACTTCTTCACTGTGAATACCTTTTTAAAACAACATAAACGGTGACTATACACTTGGACCTCACAGGTTGGAAAAAACAGGAATCAAATCAACTACATCTGTGGAAAGAGACAATGGAGAAGCTCAATATCATCAGTCAGAACAAGGCCAGGGGCCGACTATGGGACAGATCACCAATTGCTCATATGCATGTTCAAGTTGAAGCTGAAGAAAATTAAAACAAGCCCACAAGAGCCAAACTACAACCTTGAGTATATCCCATCTGAATTTGGAGGCTATCTCAAGAATAGATTTGACACATGGAACACTAGTGATGGAAGACCAGATGAGTTGTGGAATGACATCAAGGACATCATACATGAAAAAAGCAAAAGGTCATTTAAAAAGACAGGAAAGAAAGAAGAGACAAAAATGGATGTAAGAAGAGACTCTGAAACTTGATCTTGAATCTAGAATAGCTAAAACAAATGGAAGAAATGATGAAGTAAAAGAGCTGAACAGAAGTTTTCAAGGGCGCTAAAAAGGTAAAGTATTATAATGAAACGTGCAAAGACCTGGAGATAGAAAACCAAAAGGGAAGAACTCAGCATTTCTAAAGCTGAAAGAACAGAAGAAAAAATTCAAACCTTGAGTTGCAATATTGAAGGATTCTACAGGGAATATATTGAATGACACCAGAAGCATCAAAAGAATATGGAAGGAATACACAAAGTCACTGTACCAAAAAGAATTGGTCGACTTTCAGCCATTTCAGGAGGCAGTATATGATCAAGAACCGTTGGTAGTGAAGGAAGAAGTCCAAGCTGCACTGAAAGCAGTGGTGAAAAACAAGGCTTCAGGAATTGATGGAATACCAATTGAGATGTTTCAACAAACGGATGTAGTGCTAGAGGTGTTCACTCATCTATGTCAAGAAATTTGGAAGACAGATATCTGGCCAACCAACTAGAAGAGAGCCATATTTGTGACTATTCCAAAGAAAGGTGATCCAAGAGAAAGCAGAAATTATCTAATAATATCATTAATATCACACACAAGTAAAATTTTGCTGAAGATCATTCAAAAGTGGTTGCAGCAGTACACCAATAAGGAGCTGCCAAAAGTTCAAGTCCGATTCAGAAGACGCATGAAACAGGGGATATCATTGCTGAAATCAGGTGGAACTTGGCTGAAAACAAAGAATACCAGAAAGATATTTACCTCTGTTTTATTGACTATGTGAAGGCATTTGACTGTGTGGATCATAATAAATTATGTATAACATTGTGAAGAATGGGAATTCCAGACCAATTAATTGTGCTCATGAGGAACCTGTACATAGACCAAGTGACAGTTGTTTGAACAGAACAAGGGGATACTGCCTGGTTTAAAGTTAGGAAAGGTGTATGCAGGGTTGTATCCTTTCACTGGACTTATTCAATGTGTATGCTGAGCAAATAATCCGAGAAGCTGGATGATATGAAGAAAAACACAGCATCAGGATTGGAGGAAGAGGCATTAACAACCTGAGATATGCAGATGACACCATCTTGCTTGCTGAAAGTGAAGAGGACTTGAAGCACTTACTGATGAAGATCAAAGGCTATAGCCTTCAGTATGGATGACACCTGGTCATAAAGAAAACAAAAATCCTCACAACTGGACCCATAAACAATATCGTGATAAATGGAAAAAATACTGACATTGTCAAGGATTATATCTTACTTGGATCCACACTCAACACCCATAGAAGCAGCTGTCAGGAAATCAAATGACATATTACATTGCGCAAATCTGCTGCAAAAGACCTCTTTAAAGTATTAAAAAGCAAAGACATCACTTTGAGGACTAAGGTGCTCCTGACCCAAGCCATGGTATTTTCAATCTCATTATATGCATGCAAAAGCTAGACATTGTATAAGGAAGACCCGAAGAAGAATTGATGACTTTGAGGACTTCTGGCAAAATGGCGCTCTAGGCAGAAGCACCACACTGTCCTTCCACAGCAAAGATCTGAAAACCTAAGCAAAACAGAGAAAACAACAACCCTGAAACCCTAAAACATCAAATTAAGATATAAAAAACTCAGCCAAGCACCAAATGGAGTGAGAAAACTGACAGAGAATGGAGAGCGAGGAGAGATTCATACAGAGGTCTCCTATCAGCTAACGCAGCACGGATCTGCCATCTCGGACTCCTATCAGAGACCAGCAAACTGGGGGTCTGAGAAAGCAGCTTCATGGGGCTTCCAGCGGGAGACAAAACAGCCGGTAATTTGAGATATATGCTTTCCCACCCCCCACCCTTCTTCACCCCCACTCGGCCTCCTCTGCTTCCCGCAGCCACAATCTCTTGTCCAGGAAGCACCGGCTGCTTGGATTCCACCCACCCGAATGGGCCGGCACTCTGAGTGCCATTTGTTGGCTGCTGGTGTTACTTTTTTCTGCTTCTTTAGATTTCTTCCTTATCTCACACAACCTCCCCCTCCTTTTGCTCAAATAACCGGCTCCGTGTGCCATCTTTGCTTCTTCCTGAGGGGCTGCGGGCCTCTGTTCGAGTGTGGAGCTGCTTCCGGGTCTGGGCTGCCACGCTGGTTGGATCCTGGGGCTTTTGTTCATTTGTTTTGAATTGTTTGTTTCTTTTCTTTTCCTTTTCTTGAGTTGGGAGCCCATTCTGGCCAGGCGGTGCTGCGTGGCTTGGAAACTACCCCCTCAGCTTGCAAAGACATGCAGAGGGGTCCCTGAGAGCATTTCTTTTTTCGATGTTCTTTTTTATTCTTTTTTTCGGGGGCTTTTCTTGATCTTTTTTTTTAAATTTGTTTTGTTTTCTTTTCCCTTTTTTACCCATTTTGTCTTTCTTAATTACTAAGTTTCTCATCTCTCCATATCGTCCTTCTCTTTTTGTTCCCTGAATACCTGGCATTGTATACCTCTACGCCTTCTAGCCAGGCTGTACTGCAACACCTGAGAACAACTTTCCCAGACCTCATAGCCGCACCAGTGGTATCCCTGGGAACTTTGCTGTTCTTTAACCTTTC